ACCCCGACGGGGCCACACACACACTCAAGTCACTTAGACAGGCACGCAGCACACTCACACAGGTCATCCAGCATTCAGACAGACATGCAGTCCAGCACACACACACACAAGCAGACTTAGCAGGCGGGGGAACTTAGTATGGCATGCATTCCACGGCAAGACTCAGAAATCGGCTGTCTGTTTGTCCGTGTGATGACAGGTCATAACAGAACAACCATATTTCGAGCTGCACGCCTAATAATTTGTTGGAATTTCTAAGGTGCGCATATCTGGACTTTGCATCTCTGGACTCCAGTGTGGATTCCGTGTGATCTCTCAATGTGTGTGTGTGCTCAAGGTGTCGAGCAGTGAGGCTCAATGCAAGAGACTTACAGATATGGTAAAGTCTCATTCCAGCAGTGATTAGCCATTCAGCAGAAACATACACCGCTGTGAACTGAATGGTCATTGCACTTCCGTACTAGCACTCTGTACTGGGGGGACCAGACAGGGATTCCATTCCCACAACAACAGGAAAATGGTAGTAGCAGCACACCTTGCCCGCTTCTGCTCAAGAGGATCATTCGGGTCAGAAACCATAATCAGCTCTGTCCATGGAGTATCGTTTCTCATAGACTCCCTCTCTTCCAGGGCGCCTTGTTTGTTACCCCTCCTAAAAAGTCCCCTACCACGAGAGGGCTCTGTAATCATGTCGATGAAAAACTCTGAGGGAACATCCAATTTTCCAGGATAAGCTGTATCCATCTGCAAACGCCCACACAACAAGTAAAATAAGACATGCTCATTAAACCATGACCAGGTATTCGGTGACAGGATGTGCAACAGCCTGAGATTCAGAGCCGACATTGTCTGCAGAACAGGTGGGAGAAGATTTCGACATGGCAAGGCGATATGGTCATGGATGGCAAGGAATACCTTAACAGATGGCATCTGGAGGACGTGGTTTATGGCAGCTGTTCAGAGAGGAGGTCAAAAGTGGTTCCAAGGAGGGATGGGATAGAGTGCGGAGATGCTGGGGGAGGAGGCTGCAGAGAAGATTTCAGAGAAGTCTAGAATAAGAAAGCAGTGTGCTGAGAGGGCTTATTCTGGCTGTTTTCAGGCATGTTTCTCAAAGGGAAGAGTGCTGACAGGTGCAAGGGAATAAGCAATGAGAACAGCAATGAACAAGATTGCAACATCCCACTTAAAACCAGACAATTGAACCAAATTCAAAGCGGAAATCAAGCAAAATTCATACCCCACAGAAACCAGCAACACAAGTCTCTTGCAAGGAACATGAATGTGGACGAAGCACAGAAATCCAGATTGCAAAATCACACTGAAGTCCAAGTAGTCAAAGCAAGAGCAGATAGCACAATGGAACCGAGTAACCATCCATTTGAGAACGATACAGAAGAATCGTGAGTCAATGTCCAAGCCCAATCGGGCAACACCAACAGCATAACCCAATGTAGCTCTCTCTCTTGAATGGCGCCAGGCGCCCTACCTACTCTACAGCCTATCACTACAACTACAGCATGAAAGCAACCAGACAACTTGATGACCAGCGAGTGATGATGTCAACACCAATGCCGACTTCCCCTCCTTCCAGGTACGTCTCTCTCTTCTCCCTCACTCTCCCTTATTATCCCACACAGCGCCCTTCACCTCCGAAGAACCACCTTCGCCCTTCCTCCTCTGTGCTCACAGGCAGCCTGGCTATGGCCGCCAGCGCCCTGTGCCCAGGCTGCGCTCTACCGCTTAGCGCCAGCCTGCCCTGCTCAGCCTAGCGCAGCGCAGCACACTTGCAACGCAGCAGCGTGCCGGCCTTGCTCGCAATGGCCAAGATCCTCGCCCACTCGCCCTCCCTGCCTATATGCCAGTGTTGCGTGTGGGCGGCCTCCCTTGAGCCTGCGCCTGGGCCCCAGTACCTGCACCCAGGCCCAATGCGGTTGGGGCCCACGCAGTACAGTTGTGCCTCTTTCATCCAGGCCTGCGTCCAGATTCAGATAGTGGACCGGTATCCCATTGGCATTTTCGGCCTCTATTTCCAGTATGCAATGTCGGCCTCACGTTTATGTGCCCAGTGTGAGGATTGAGCCCTCAAGAAGGGGCCTTGCCATGATGCACATGTTCTGGGCTAAGGCCCCAGCAAGCATCGTGCCCGCCCT